CGCTACCACGCCCGGCTGATTTTTTGATTTATTGTAGAGATGAGGTCTCGCCTGCCCAGGTGGGTCTCGAACCCGCGGGCTCAGGCAATCCACTCACTTCAGCCTCCCAAAGGCACGGGATTACAGGCTGAGCCACCGAGCCCGGCTGTATTTTTTTCTTAATGAAGCATAAGAACAAATAACAAGCAGTAAAACCAGCACCCTTACACAAAGTCATGTGTTTCTGTACCACAAAGGAACTCTATACAGATCTGTAAACATATGAACCCGAATTCATTAAAAAATTTAATATTACAAGTGGTTGCAATGTAAACATTTTAAATATATGTACTAGGGGAAAAAGTGGCACAAGACACGTTGAGCTATTCTAATCAACTTCCAAGTCTGGCTGGCTCAATTAGTTTAAAGTCTTTTGAAATATATTTTGTGGCTACTTGGCCACAAAAGCTACTTTGACAGAGTGAATACGTTTCAAGGGCCCTGAGAAAAACTTAGTGCTAAGAAAATATTTCTTATTTAACTTGTTTCTCTTTGTTTTATCTTCACCTGGAAAAGGGACATATTCACAGCAGCAACAAGTAGGCCAGAAAGCAAAGCATTAATAATTTTTAGTTAAAAACTGGATCTCCCCTTAATCAAAGAGCAAACATCTCACTTCCAGTTTCACCAAATATTGACTTGAAATCTAAAATAAAGAAGCTATATCCTTGTCAGTAAATATTTCTTTTTTTCTCGGGGGCCTTTATGATAGAAGTAAAACTTCACTCTATTATAAATGTCAAAATTGATATTTTTGGGAAAAATAGAACTGCATGTATGAGTTTTATTCTATACTATTTACTTTTATGGATATTTAGTTATAACATATATATAGACATTCTATAAACATTATCAGATTTAGGTACTTTCATTTTTTCACATAAAATTTCCTTGACTTAAAAATACCCTCACACAGTTAGGTACAGTGGCTCACACCTATAATCCCAGCACTTTGGGAGGTTGAGGTAAGAGGATTGCCTGAGCCCTCAGGTTCAAAACCAGCCTAGGCAACTTGGCGAGACCTCATCTCTACAATAAATAAAACAATTAGCCGGGCATGGTGGTGCGTCCCTGTAGTTTCAGCTACTCAGAAGGCTGAGGCGGAAGGATGGCCCGAGCCCAGCAGGTCGATGCTGGGGTGGCCAGGAGTGTGCCATTGCTCTACAACCTGGGTGACAGAGTGAGACTCCAACTCAAAAACAAAAGAAACATAAAAATACCCTCATACTAGCCGGGCTTGGTGGCTCAGCCTGTAATCCCATGCCTTTGGGAGGCTGAGGTGAGTGGATTGCCTGAGCCCGCGGGTTCGAGACCCGCCTGGGCAGCAAGACCTCATCTCTACAATAAATCAAAAAATCAGCCGAGCGTGGTAGCACATGCCTGTGATTCCGGTTACTTGAAAGGCTGAGGCGGAAGGATCACCGGAGCCCAGCAGGTTGAGGCTGCGGTGGCGGGAGCGGCCACTGCACTCCAGTCTAGGCGACAGAGTAAGACTCCAACTCAAAAAAAAAAAAAATACCCGCATACATGTGACTAATGTGATGAATCTGATCCTCTTGTAGGCAAGCGATGTTTTTATGGACAAAAGCATCTTATTGGCCGGGCTCGGTGGCTCAGCTTGTAATCCCAGCACTTTGGGAGCCCGTGGGTTCAAGACCAGCCCAGTCAACTTGGAGAGACCTCATCTCTACAATAAATCAAAAATAAGTCGGGCGTAATAGCACACATCTGTAGTTCCAGCTACTTGGAAGGCTGAGGCAGAAGGATCGCCAGAGCCCAGCAGGTTGATGCCGTGGTGGCCATGAGCGTGTCACTGTACCCCGGCCTGGGCAACTGAGATCCACAACTCAAAAAAAAAAAAAAAAAAAAAAAGCATATTATCATGGTAATCATCACCCCTAAGGTCAGATATTAACACAAAGAAGGGTGTATTTCCATATTTCCATATGTGAAAGTTCTTTCAGTACTGAATAATGCTCATCTCTTAGACTGGACACTCCCCACTACCACAGCAAAAAGTCTAAAACTCTGCTTTATAAAGAGAATTAGAACAGGAAATCCAAAAACTGACTTAAGGGTACACTGCTGAATTGTGTGTTCCAGGATACTGAACTCCATAACTAAAAGAAAATCTGCAGATTGTTTCATAAGGCTTTGTTTGACAGGGAGAAATACAAATGGGATATAGTCAATTACCTACTAGAACTAGATGCAGGGCACTCAGATGGTTTGTTTTGCACATCCACCTTCCTCCTCAGGAGTCCTGCCCAGGAATGAAGAGTTTGGCTTTCTTCAACACTGCTGTAGGCCCAGCTCTCAGAACAAATACCTAGCAAGTACCTCATTAAGTCAGCTTGTCCTTTATTACTGGATCATCCCTATTTTCACATAAATGCTATAACTTATCCAGTCTTACATAAACACTGTCTACCACATATCCTTCTCTAGTTCCCACTCCACTTTTCTGCTCTTCTTCATCCCAAGCTCTTAAAAAGAAGTGTCTCTCTTCACTGTCAACACTTCATCACCTTCCAGCCTCTCTTAATCCTACTCAATCAGGCTTCTGTTCTTGTCACATCACCTCTTGTCAAGGTCACCAAAACCTCCATGTTGCCAACACCAATGTACAGACACATCTTGGATCTCATTTTACTTGAGAGCATAGCAAAGTTGATCCCTCTCTCCTTGAAACATTCCTCATTGGGCTTCTGGGACTATAATTTCTCCTTCTATCCTTCTGGTTTTCTTCTCTTTTGTGGATTCTCCTTTGCTTCCTAACTTCAGAATGTTGTCATGCGCAGGGTTCAGATTTCTACTCTACCTATGCTCTTCCCCTACAGATGCTTATCCAGTTTCATGGCATTAAAGAGTCATCCACTGATGATTCTCTCACTGTTCCTCCGAGGACCTCTAGATTCATATTTCCAACTAGCTATCCAACATCCCCACTTTGAATCCTCTCAAACTGAGTTTGTCCAAACCGAATTTTTGACACTCTCTACCTCACCCTCAACCTGCTCTTCCCCTAACATTCCCTGCCTGTGGCAGAGACTAGCCAGATGTTTATTAAATCCACTTCTTCTTCTGGACACCTGCTAGACTACATTTTCCAGTCTTCCTTGCAACAAGGTGTAGCCATGGGACCAAGTTCTAACCAGTGGAATGTAAGGATCATTCAGGTTTTCCAGACATCCACCTCCAGGTTTTCTCCTTTCAGCCTGCTTCATGCAGAAGAATAGGCAGATCTTGGGAAGTCATGTGTTAAAGATGATAGGAGACTTGGTCCCCAATCACTGCTTGGATAACTGCTGCCCTGCCAATCGGGAGCACCCACTGGAGCTTTACAAAAAAAGAAATAAACTTCTATTGTGTTAAGTGAATGCCAGGGTTTATCTGGTACAGTAGCAATGTTACATAATTAATACATTCAGTCAGAATAAGGCACCACCATTCACCTAGCTGCTAAGGTCAAAACCCTAGGACTCAGCCGGGCTCGGTGGCTCAGCCTGTAATCCTGCGCCTCTGGGAGGCTGAGGTGAGTGGATTGCCTGAGCCCGCGGGTTCGAGACCTGCCTGGGCAACTTGGCGAGACCTCATCTCTACATAAATCAAATGAGCCGGGCATGGTAGCACGTGCCTGTAGTTCCGGCTACTTGGAAGG